TATATATATATCCGCACATGTATACACATATTTAAATTCGCTTATATATATATATATATATCTCAACTGCAATAGGAACATGGGCCGGACTTTAAACGCATTTCCACCACCGAGGAGCCTTCAGAGGACAAAGCCAGCCCCTACGCCGTTAACACCAACATAGAGAGTGTGCTCACCGGAAGTTCGGCACTTGCACTCAGCACCATGCCTGGTGGGGTTGCAGCGGAACAGTATATCGATGGGTATGCTTGCTGTTGTGTGTGCATGTATGTTTATTTAGTTGTATGTACAAGTATGTTTATGTAGTTGTATGTACATGTATGTTTATGTAGTTGTATGTATATGTATGTTTATGTAGTTGTATGTACATGTATGTTTATGTAGTTGTATGTACACGTATGTTTATGTAGTTGTATGTACATGTATGTTTTTGTAGTTGTGCGTTCACGTACACTTGCTATAAAGAGATGAATGTCTACGGGTATGCATTTTTGTTGTATGTGCATGTATGTTTATGTAGTTGTATGTACATGTATGTTTATGTAGTAGTATGTGCATGTATGTTTCTGTAGTTGTATGTGCATGTATGTTTATGTAGTAGTATGTGCATGTATGTTTCTGTAGTTGTATGAGCATAAATGTTTCTGTAGTTGTACGTTCACGTACACTTGCTAGAAAAGGATGGATGATGATGAGTACGCATGCTCGTTGCATGTATTTTCATAGCTGTTTGTTTACGTACCCTTACCAGAGAGGGATGTATATACGTATGCTAATGTATCTCTGGAATACCAACGTATTAGAGTGTGCTGACGAGAGGTTCGGTACTTAACCACCCCTTCTACTGTGTCAAGATCGGCACGGCTGAGCAGAGAGCGTTTGTTTGGTCATGAACGCTGAGTGTCTATGAAGACTCATTCCAATCCAGTCCACTCCTTAGTCGATGTCGATGTCAATTCTCGTCTGTGGTATAAAGACCCTTTCAATCTAACTTTTACCCCCAACCCCCCCTCTCTCCTCCCCTTCATCAATAGTTAATGTCAAATGTAGTCTGTAGTGACCCTATGAAGACCCTTTCAAACTATCTTGTCCCCCCCATCCCTTTCTCCCCTTCATCAATAGTCAAAGTTAACTGTAGTCTGTAGTGACCCTATGAAGACCCTTTCAAACTAACTATCCTCCCCCCCCCCACCCCCCACCCCCCCTCTCTTCCCCCCACTTTCCTCACGTATAGTTCAAGTAGGCCAGTGTCGCAATTCAGCCGCGTGGGAGTGCATTTCCGCAACAACGATGGTACACCGTTGCCCGACGGACACGCGTCTACAGCGCGAGCGTTCTGTCCTCAGTCGCACTTCTTCATGTACACACAGGTAGCACCCCCCCAGCGGATAACAGGCATAGGCCAGACACCACCCATACAAGGTAGGCAGGCGTGTGTTTGTGTGTATATCTGAGCATGTGTGTATGGTTGTATGCGTATATATGTTTGGTATTTGTTGGTATATGCGTATGGGTTATATATCTTAGTATCCCTTGCAAGGTAAGCAGGCGTGTGTTTGTGTGTATATCTGAGTATGTGTGTATGGTTGTATGCGTATATATATATATATATGGTACCTGTATGTATATGCCTGTATATCTTAGTACATGCCTCATGCAAAGTAGGGAACGATGTGTATATAATTGAAGCTTTAGCCTAGCTATTCCTGAATTAAGCCATGTTCTGTAGCTCCCTTTCGCACTGTGGTTGTGAGCATGCTCCGTATATCTATTTATAGATTCTATTTTTAAACTTCATTTCCTCAGGCAACGGCGAGCGAGAAAAGGGCGGGAAGCACTTTGCGCACTCCAAAGCTTCATTCAAATCCGAGCAGACGCTCAAACCGACCGGTAGGTCATTGTTGTACTCTGATTGGATATAAGTTATGTAGGTATGCAACTCGTGCTGCTCATATACACACCCAGTGCGGGATCTTACCTCGATATGGGCTACATGCATATCAAGTGCTTCTCAGATGCACTTATATATATATATATATATATAGATGTGTGTGTGCGTTACATAGTACAGCATATTCAACCATGTTGTCCTACATTTGATTTGCAAGCACATCGTGTCTCCACCGCAGCGTTCAGCTGTGCTATACGACGTGGTGTAGTGGGCGCTGCACGCACATCGTGTGCCTCTCATTCAATGCAAGTCACACCTATATCCTGCGGTTATTGCGATAGGCATCATACATAGTATGTCGTAGAACATACTCTCACGGCTCAATGTACGCGTCTGTCACCTTCATTGGTTGTGTATTCTTATATCATGCATCCACCTCTTTGAC